CACAGCACACACACGTGCCCTCCCCAGACTTGCCTTTAGCCACTTGCAAAGAACAGCACAGCCAGGGCAGCGGTGAGGGAGGTGCCATCTGTGACTGCGTGGAGCTGGTGGAGCCCAGTAGTACACAGGGAGCTCCCCCCATAGGCAGTAGCCCGAGCTTCTGTGTGAGCACACACTTTCCCACTGCCACTTGTGTGTGTGGTGCTTCAATGTGTGTGTTTTTCCGTGTTGTGTGTGTGTGCTGCAATGTGTGTGCACACCCTCCACCCCAGCAACGCCCTGCATCCCTCCCCTGCTTGGCCCACTTGTCCCATTCCCCGCCACCCCCTTGTGCTGCTTGGCAACTCCGTCCCTAATCCCCAGTTGCTGTTCCACTGTCCAGACTGGGATGGGGGTCGGGTTTGCTTCAGAAACCAGGAGGATAACTAGCCCACCTGGGAGCAGTGTCTCCTGGGATAATGGAGGACTGTGACTTGAGCATTTGATCACAGTTAGAAAGTAGGATAAATCAAGCTGGTTAGCATAGGTCAAAGATAAACCTCACTTCAAATGGCGTGATTTTAAGATGCCCTAGAGAGCACTTTGCATTTTTAATGAGCATGAATGTATGATCCTTCATATTTTAAATACCCATGACAAGGTTTAATTGCAAATTGAAATACCACCCTTAGCTCACACAAAAACCAGTAAGAACTCAGCCTGAGTAAAGACTGCAAGGTCTAGTCAGAGAGAGGGTGTTGTTACACATTGTCCTTAGGCCACACTAAGTGCTGTGGAATGTTAGGCAGTGTCAACGTTAGAACGAGCTTGGAGCAGTCGCGCATTAGGGCTTCATGCCATCTCTGTCCTGCACATCTCTGACTTGCCGCTAGAGGGCTGGCATCAAGGGTGTGTCTATGAGCTGCATCCTTCTGCTCCTGTGTGCTGCTTCTGGACCTCCCTTTGGCTTTGATATATGGGTCCTGCCCTTTGACCCAGCCCTAGACCCTGCTTTCCATCAGTGGACTAACCATTAGGCCAGGTCACCTACACCCCAGTTCCTTATAGTGGGTAATGATGACATGGTCCTTCTTGACAATCTGGTCTTGCAGTAGGAGTTGATGGTCCTCACTGTGCCCTGTGCCCAACACCTTGTTGGCATCCCTGCCTCTTATGTACTGTGACTTCAGGGATGTAATTTTTGGTCTGGATATGCAGCCAGTCCTGATGGTGCCCCCATGCCATGATCTGAGCTGCAATCTGCTCATAAAATGTCTGGTTCTGCCTGTTTCCCTTCATGCCATTGGCAGTGGTCCTCCCCTTGTCCCACATTGTGATGAGGTCCAGCACCTCATCATAACTCCAGTTTGTTGCTTTCCTGATTGGGTTTGGTTAGACATCCTTTGGCTCATGCTCTGCCTCTGTTTGTCTGACACAGGTACGTAATAGCTGGTTTCCACTTATGGCTGCTTGCACTGATTGCATGCGATCACACCCTTGGAGGCAGAAATTCATACCCCCTGGTGAGGTAGAGATTGCCGGTTGGAATGTATATCCACATTGAGCAAGAGGCAGAGGGAGGGGACGGTGCATCCCGGGATGCTAAAGGACTGGAATTTGGTTGTTTGATCTCTCCAGAGTGGTCACACATTACTGTGACACAAGCTGGATAACAGCTCAAAGATAAACTTCACCTGAAGTGGTGGAACTTTAAGATTTTTAGAAAGCACTTAGCACTAGTTTTCGCATCTTAACTTATGGGCAATTCAGAACTCTTAGCATATCCTAAAGGTAATGTGTAATAACATCCAGGGTTAGAATAAGGCTACCTAAACAAGGTGCCATGAGGTAAGCTATGCTGAAAACTTACAGGCTAGGAACAGAAAGTACACACAAACTGGTTTAAGTGATCAAAAACTGGTTTAAAGCTATAACAGAATAGAAGTTCAGTGCACATAAGCCAGTTTCAAAATGGCCAAAACTGGTTTAAAATAAACCTGGTTGAATGTAGTATCAGACTTAACTGATTTAGGTCAAACCAGTTTATGAAATTTCTGTCCCAAATCGTTCCTGGTTCAAGTTAAATCACAGTCCCTCAGCATCCCAGCATGCTTTCCAGCCCTGGGCTGGGCTGGGCTGGGCTGGGCTGTGCTGTCTGCTCCAGAGATAGGGCTGGCCCCACCCTGCTCCTGAGCTGGAGCAGTGAGGACTGGCTGACAAAGGGGTAGGGAGGGGGCAAGCCCGACTGGGGATGCAGCCCAGTCTAGGGTGGGGACTTCCCAGTCTACAGGGGGGGCAAACCCTGGCTGGGGTCTGGGGCCAGGGAGGGGAGTTAACCCCCCCTTCCCCTGCTCAAACTTACTGCTGGCTGCAACTGTGGGCTACAAATCCCAGAGGTACCAGGAAGCAGGAAGAAGAAATGATGAACAGCCCTGCAGAGTCCTGCTGCTGTAATTCTGGACTATAAATCCCAGAGACCTTAGGGCAGCAAGAAGAGGAATTGAACACACAGCTTCTGAGCCACTGCAGGCATGTGGCTGCATTTCCTGTATCAGAGGTAGATGTCTGTTTATTTCTGTTTCAATTTAATCGGTGCATCTTAGACTAACCTGCAAAGACTGAATAGATTCAGCCTCAGGGTTTTTGACTGTACTTGGCCACAGTGCATTAGCTATATCCCACAGTCACTGATGAATAAGCTACCTCAGTCACTGCGGGGTAAGAGCATGCACATGGATATTACTGTGGAGTAGCTTATGAGCTATGAGTTCATGCCCTGGCTTCCTTGTAGTGTCTTATTCATGTGCCCATACCATTATTACTCTTTCTGACAAATTTGAATAGGTTTTGCTGAACTATTTTGTTAAATTGACACAAGCCCTGTGTGGACACCCTTACATAAATGTAATTTAAACCTGTCCCTACACAGCTGTAGCTAAATGATATAAGCCTGTTTTAAATGAAAGATAGAGTATATAAGCAGCCTTTTGCACTAGTTTAAATAACCTGCTTTAAAATAATAGCTTTAATTAAACCTGTCTTCCTTTTCAGCAATCCCTTACAATCGAGGATGATTGTCTTCCATTATCATCTTAAGTGTTCAGTGCAGTGTGTAGACAAACCCTGGCAATCAGGCCGTCTTCATATTTACTTTAATTATTTTATGAAAAATAAGAGCTATAACCATATAGCCATGAAACCCAAATAATAATAACATTTTAAAAACCCTCAGATTTCTAGTTAAATTTTTTCTCTAGCAAATTTCATCTCATTTTCCAAGCTAACATTTGGGCCTGTCTTCCAAAATTCACTGGCAAAAACAAGAGCCTGTTCAGTAGAGTGAACTAGCAGCATAAAAACAAAATCTTATGTTTTAATCAATTTCTAGCTTTTGCTTCAAAGATAGCCTTGGAAACATAAACCAGTCATTGAGTTAAAAAACAAAAAAAAACCCTACATTTTGCAGCAGTAGACTGGGGAAGCTGTAAAATCTTGTTTGCTTTTCTTTTTATCCCCTACTACAGTGCCAATACACTTCTTAAATATAATGAGCCAGTTTCATTCAGGGTATAGTTCTATGAAGATTTTGCTAATCAGTTGACAGGCACTATGTATAGTTGTGTGATAATTAGGAATAAGCTATTGGGATGGGGTTTGTGGGGCACATCATTGTTTTGTATGTTTGCTCCAAGTTGTTAACAGTGCCTGTACATGAGTGTGAAGCTACTTGTGTACAGGTACCAAGCACCAGAGCAGACTCAGTTAATTAAGTCTGCTGGAGCATGCTTGAACAGCCTCCATCATCTCGTGTCTCAGCGTCCCTGAGCTTCAAAATGGTGGTGGGGGTGCTTGAACTAAAGCTTATTCAACAAGCTTTAGTTCAAGCGCTCTCATCATTTTGAAGTGCAGGGACACTAATATCCAAGATGCTGCCTGCTGTGTTTTAATTAGAGCAGGAGAGCTGCCCCTTCCCCCCACTCCCCACACCTGGAGCATGTGTAAACATGCCAATTATTTCTGCCTGTTGCATATAAATATGTAAGAATTCCCCAGAGAGTAAATTAAGAACATAAGAAGTGCCATACTGAGTCAGGCCAATGGTCTATCTAGTCCACTGTCTTGTCTTCAGCAGTGGCTGGAGTAGATACTTTACAAGGAGAGTACTGAACCAAATTTATTCAGTGATCTGTCTTTTATTAACTACCCTTCCTGGCATCCATCATTATTGGTTTAGAGATGCCAGAAGAAACATCTCCAGCCATTCTGTTCAACATGAACACTCTGCTCCATATCCCTGATCTTTTTGGTTGCCCTTTTCTATATCTTTTCTAATTCTACTCCATCCTTTTTGAAATGTGGAGACCAGAACTGCACACTGTATTCAAGAACTACATGCAGCATGGGTTTGAATAATGGCTTGTAATGTTCTGTTTTGTTTTCAATTCCCTTTTTAAAGACACTCAACATCTTATTTTTTTTGCTTGCTGCTGCACACTGAGCTGATGTTTTTAGAGCACTGTCTACATTAAGTACACCCGTAGTAGTTGCAAGAAAGCCACAGACATCTGCAAAATGTAGCCATGTTATTAAAAGCAGGAATTGGTTTAATGATGTAAGCCAGGGCTGTCCAGCTGGTGCCCTGTGGACCACATGTAGCCTCTGGGCTCCCACCAGGCTGCCACTACCCCTATTGCTCTGGCTGCTGTAGCAGCCAGGGACTTTGGGCTCCCACTTGCTCCTTTGACTTCTGTTCCATACTCCTACCCCAGGGAGCAGGGCAGCATGGCATAACGAGGCACAGCCTAAGGTGCCTGAATGCTGACAACCCAGAATGATGTGGTGTCATGTGGTGTCACAGGGGAACCACAGAGAGCTGAAGGTGAGGCTATGTGCCCACCTGCACATGTTGTGCAGCATGGGGCAGGGAGGAACTGCAATCTGCACATGTATGACATGCAGCTGTGGGGGCCTGTTCCCCCCACTAGTGCTGCCCCTTCAGTGTGTGGCTCCCGCAGATGTAGCCTGTGGGCATGTCACCCCTGGTCACTTTGAAATTAAGACATCCCTGATTTAAGCATCCCACTGTTTTTGTTTTGTTTTTATTGAACTGTAAAAATAATTTCAGACTTTAACCTCTCTTTGTAAAGCTACAAATTGTGTTAAAGTAATGATACTTTTCTAAGCCCCACCTATAAAATAAGCTCAACCCACTTTAAATATGAGATGGAAATGTTGCTGCTAGCTGTTGCAACTGTTCAGATTATAATTATATGTACTGTTTGGGTTCCCCTTCTACAATGCACCAATGATCCCTACTTGCCTTGGGTTTCTTGCTGTGTGGCTTAAATATCTTGTTGGTTTCACTGCATTTGTAGAGGTATCTTCCAATCCCACTCACTGCAGAGGAGGGGATGCCAAAATGAATTGACAAGTCATGAGTAGGGGGTCTAACTAACTCGAGGAGGTGGCCAGCCAGTTTCATGGCGAGATTGTAGGGCCAGCTACCATATTCAAGGGTTGATTGTGGTGGGCCCCCACCATGCCTCAGTGGCCCTGCCCATCACCACTGATTGGTTACCAGGGCTGGCCATCATGCATGACATGACAGGCAGCCCTCTCAGCTAACCAGTGGTGAGGGGTGGGGGCAGCAGCCATCTTTGGCTGCCCTTCATGTGGGCAGCCCGCCTCCTCCCTGCCACCCTCTGAGGAGCCAGTGTTTTATTTTTAGTAAGTGTTTCTTGTTCTTGCAAATTTCATGGGAAGTGCCAGATTTCTGTGAAATTGCAATTTTGGTAGGTCCCTAGTCATGAGAGACTTTGCAAGAGTGGTTTCAGTTGAGTTCCAGATTGAAAACTAGATTGGAGAAAGGTCTGGAGGACCCAGTTGCTTTCCAGCTACAATCAGGGACCCTAGACCATCCACTGAAATAAGCAGAGTTATAGCTGCAGTGCTCATGTAGCATGTTTGGATCTGCTCTTTTCTTTCACGGGGATCAGGGCAACGACAACACTACAAAGAAATGGAGTTGCATGTTCTGCTTCTCACAGATCTGCCAACCAGAAAATCTGCCCCAGTAGCATAGGGTAAGACCAGAAAAGAGCCTAGGTGCACAACCAGTTATCTGGATAAAAGGGGTACTGAGAGTGAGAGCAGTGAGAAGGTCTGGGTGGCGTAACAACGGATACAAGGGAAGGGTGGAGACATGAGCCAATTGTCATGAACAGCAGCAGAAGATGCAAACAAGCACAGGTAGCCTGTCTAGGCACCTGCACTGAGCTCCTTGCTGTAGTTTCTCAGTCCCTGATCAAAATACTTGGTTATCTGGAGATGGGGAGCAGCAAGAGCTGCAGAACCAGGTTGGTGTCACTGTTTTGATTGCAACCCAACGCATCCTTGCAGTCTGCTTGAAATTAATCAACACCATTTGAATTGGATCATGTCCAAACTCAGAACAAAAGATCACCCATAAGAAATATAAGGCATTTTTTTACCAAGTGATTTAAGCCACTTTATGCATGTATTAAAGTGATTGAAAGTGCTTTTGTGGTGATTTTATAGAGCCTTTAAAGGCTTTTTGCTGGCATTAGGTTGATTTAAATTGCCACTATTAGAGCAAATTAAATCTCTTCTTTCCCAGATTGTTCCAAAGACTTTAAACATATTCAGCTGGGTTTTTTGTGTGTTTGTTTGCTTTTGTTTTCAGTTATTTCCCTTTCTGTTTTTATTAGAACCTATCAGCTTTACTTGTTGCCTTGTTTAAGATTAACTGAGTATTTGAAGGAATAAATAGAATAAAATATATATTGAATACAAAACTAGATAGAAATGGTTTGGGCGTTTTCTTGGTTGAATATCATTCTGTGTATTTATTTAAATAGTTGGCATTTTAGGTGTGGATACACATCCCATTGAAGTTAATGGAAATAGCACCAATTCACCACCCATGTAAACCAAACCAAGTGTTACTATTGCATTTTAAAGCTTAAAGCCATTATTAGCCTTGCTTAAATTGCCATGTAAAATGGCAAATGCGGAAGCTGGAATCAAATTCAGTGACAAGTGATCTGATTTTTCTGGTGTCCCTTTAAGCCACTATGGGCTGGACTTCTCATCATTTCTTAAAAAGATGACTGAAGGAATACCTTGGTCATTATTTTTCTTCTGTGAAATAATGCACATTAACATGTAGATTTTCAGTAGCTACCTGTGGTTCAAACAGGTTGAAAGCACAGGATATCAAGCTTACCAGTGCACCTATTCTGTGAAGATAAGAGAGTGTATTTGCACAATGTAGCCACTTTGAGCTTAGTCTATTGGAGCCATTAAGGATGTACTTAAGTTTGAGTATAAGATGGTGTAGGGTGCACTGGGGGTACTTTTCTCCACTTAGCTCCACTTCCCTACACCTCATGTTAAGTGTGTTCAAGCTTAGTTCCCAGAGTTTTCTGTTTTCAGAATTTAGGGAAAAATTAAAACTTTGAGCTATGGTATGTAAAACTCTGAACATAGGTAGTATTAGTGACAGCTGCCAGTCAGCTTCAAGGAGTGTTCCATACAATTCTCAGTAAATAAAATTAGGCACACAGACAAAGACTGGGAACAGTATTTGAAATTATTTTTAATACTTATCAAAGAGTTTAAATCAGGGCTATCCAAGTGCTGATCCCTGAGCTGCATGTGGCCCCCAAAGGGTTAGCATGCAGCCTGTTGGCTCCTGCCCAGCTGCCATTCCCTGCTGCCAGTTGGTCCAGCCTCAGTGGCTGGGAGGGGACTGGAGTGCTCAAGCTGCATGTGTGGCAAAGAAGGGAGATGGGCTGCCTGCATTGCAGGTGGGGGATGCATGTGAGGGAGTAGGGGGCACTTTGAATGCAGCACGGGAGAGCCAGGCTGCCTGTGCTATTGTAGGGAGCTGCTCATACCATGCACGTGGCTGGGAGAAGTGGAGAGCCAGGCTGCCAGTAGTACACAGGTGGCAGGGGGAAGGCAGGCTGCCTGTGCTATTGGGAGCAAAGCAGGGGGCAGGCTGTTTGCACTGTGTGCACAGTGGAGAGGTGCTGAATGGTCCATAAGAGGAAGGGAGAGTTGCACATAATTCTTAGTAAGGTTCTGCAACATCAGCAAATACTCAGAACTAACTTGAACATAGGTTAAACAATAGATGTGATCAGCATCTCCAGCAGAAGCACCGTGTGCTTGTGATAAATGCTTCATATTAAACTGTGAAGGAGATGAATGTGTTGTGTCCTACATTTCCTCATCAGTTAGAGGTAGAAGGAGTTATTTTTGATGTTGCATATCAATCCATCACTGTCAGTGGAAGCCATTCAGTGCTGCTAAGAAGTGTCTCAGGACCAGGTGTTTACATGCTGTTTAGGGTTTGCACTGTGTGGAGACCACAGCTAATCACTGTTAATCCCCTATATTGCCATGCCTTTAGTACATTTAGTATAGGAATTTCAAGTGTGTTTAAGATATTTTGATGCTTAGTGAGTGCAAAAAAAATGGAGTGCCTAAGCAAGTGAAGATAATCAAATATGCAGAGGAATTTCAGGACAAATCCCCGTTGATATTCAATTAAACTTGTGCTTCTAATGGTAAGATTATACATTACAATTATATCATATAAAGAGCGCTTAAAACTTGAATGATCACACATTATGCCTCATTAACAAGTTCTGAGTGCCCTCTAGATCATCAGGGGTTCCCAAAGTTTTTATGCCGTGGCCTAGCAAACTGCAGCCTGGAAATGGCCACAACCTGGCAAACTGTGGCCCATCAGTCACAGATGGCCGCAGCTGGAATTTCCAGCCTGAAGACAGGTAAGGATACCCCCATGCCCTGGGCAGTGGGGTGGGCCAAACCCTGCGCTGCTGTGGGCCCTGTGGAAGGAGCTGCAGCCTCTCTGCCCGGCTCTAGGGGGCTGCAGCCACTGACCATCCTGCAGACCAGCAGCTGACCTGCCACAGCCCAGCACCGCACAGTCCAGGGATTGAGAACCCCTGCTCTAGATGTCTTAAAGTTACACCTATTCAGGCAAGAATTATCTCTGAGCTCTGCTACCCAGCTTGAAGTAAACTAACTTCTGGGTGCTTCCCTGAGAAAACCACCAAATTTGTGGTCCTTCAGTATCCCAGGAGGACTGCTCCTAAGTGGACTAGTTAATATCCAGCACTCTATGGCCCTGGACTGACACATGTGAACCAGACACAGGTGGGTTGGGATAGGATGAGTAGTGAGGGAAGGAAAAGAGGTGAAGGTTGGAAGCAGGAGGGAAGCATAGGGAAGGAGCAATGAAAGCTGTAGGAGGAGTGGGTGGGTGGAGAGCTTCTTGATTGCTGTCCTTCCAAACACAGGCAACTGGTAGGGGGGGCACTGGAGACACATGCCCCACCTGAGATTGGCCCCTGACACAGCACTGCTCAGGACAGGGCAACTTTTTTGCCATGCAAGCTGGTGGTGTGTTGGGAGTTGGGCACTAAGCCTCAGCACAGAAATATAGGAGTGGATATGGGGCTTTTGGCCTGCCTAACGCCCACCCACAAATTGTGCCCCCCCAGACTCAGGAGGCACCAGTCACCCTTGCCTCCACCCCTGAATTGTTTCCCTGCTACCCCAGTCTCCTCCACTGACCCCATTAGTCCCTCCACCTCCAAGACACTGCCATGCTTCCCCAAGAGCAGCAGAGGCACCAGTAGTGGCAAAGTTTCATAGATTTCATAGATTTTAGGGCTGGAAGAGACCTTGCAAGATCATTGGGTCCAGGCCCCTGCCCAAGGAGCAGGAAGTCAGCTGGGGTCAAATGATCCCAGCAAGATAGACATTCAAGTATTTCTTAAAAGTGTCCAGAGTAGGTGCTTGCACCACTCCTGGGGAAAGTCTAGTCCAGGCTCTGGGGACTCAGACAGTAAAAAAGTTTTTCCTTACATCCAGCCTAAAATGGTCTTGCCACAGTTTGTGACTGTTGGACCTTGTCTTCCCTTGGGTGCCCTAGTAAACTAATGTTTTCCCAGTTCCTGATGCACACCCCTTATATACTTATAGGCTGCCACCAAATCCCCCCTGAGCCTTTGCTTCTCCAGGCTGAAGAGCCCCATGCCTCTTAGCATCTCCTCATAAGGCCTGTTCTCTTGTCCTCTAATCATGCATGTGGCTGTCCTCTGGACTCTTTCAAGCTTCTCCACATCTAAAGTGTGGAGCCCAGAATTGGATGCAGTATTCCCACTATGGCCTCACCAAGGCTGAGTAAAGCGGGAGGATGACTTCTTGGGTCTTGCTTGAGATGCATTGGTAGATGCAAGCCAGGGTTTGTTGGCTTTGCCAGCTACGGCAACACATTGGTGGCTCATATTCATCTTGTGGTCTGTCATGACCCCCAAGTCTCTTTTAGTCATGGTGCTAGTGAGTGTAGCACTGCTGAGCCTATAAGTATGATGTGGATTTTTTTCCCCAAGGTGGAGAACCTTGCATTTCTCCGTGTTAAATGCCATCAGGTTTTGATCCACCCACCTTGCCAGCCTGTCCAGGTAGGCCTGAATCACCAGCTTATCCTTTAGTGTGACCACACTTCCCCATAATTTGGTGTCATCAGCTAATTTAGCCAGTCTGCTTCTGATACCTGAATCTAATATCATTTATAAATATGTTAAAAAGTACTGGTCCAAGTACGGAGCTCTGGGGGACACTGCTGGACACCATGCACCATTTTGACATGGTTCCATTGACTATCACTCTCTTTGTCCAACCACACAGCCAGTTCCTGAGCTGTCGGACTATAAGGTTGTCGTGGCCTCAATTCCCCAGTTTAACCATAAGGACTTCATGAAAGACCAAGTCAAAGGCTTTTTTGAAGTCCAAATAAATTATATCAACCTCTTTTTCTTTGTCCAGGTAATGCAACACCTGGTCATAGAAGGCAATGAGGTTAGTCAGGCAAGACCTACCCACAACAAAGCCAAGTTGGCTATCTTTTAGAATGTTGCAGTCTGTTAACCTGTTGTTAATAATTTATTTGATTATTTTTTTCTAATATCTTACCAAAGATTGAGGTCAAACTAATTGGCCTGTAGTTCCCTGGATCTTCCATGCTTCCTTTTTTGAAGATAGACACCACATTGGCCCCCTTCCAGCCTTCAGGAAACTCTCCTGAGCACCACAAGTTCTCAAATATCCTCATTATTGGCTGCACTATGGTGTCAGCCAGTTCCTTTAGTACTCTTGGGTGGATTCCATCTGGGCCAGCTGATTTGTGGATGTCCAGCCTCTCAAGGTGTTCCCTCATGAGATCTTTGCCGATGCTGGGCGTGTGTTTGCCTCATACCCTGTCAATCCTGCATCTTATTTGGCAGGGTGATCCCCTTGGGCTGGTGGAAGACCAATGCAAAGTAATTGTTAAAGAGATTAGCTTTTTCCTGGATGTTGGTTGTCAGCTGCCCCATTTGGTTTAGCAAGGGTCCGAGGTTGCCCTTGTTTTTCTTCCAACAATCCACGTATCTGAAGAAGGACTTTTTGTTGTTCTTGATTCCTGTAGCCAGTTTAAGTTTGGTTTTGTCTGTGACTTTCCTGTTTTGCTCCCTACATGTTCAGGCCAGTGCTGAATACTTCTCCTTGGTGATGTTACCTGACTGCCACCCTTTATAGGCTTCTTTTTTCAGATACAGGAGGTCCATAAATCCCCTATTTAGCCACAAGGGTTGCTCAGCCTTTTGGCTACCTTTCCCATGGGCTGGGATGGATTTCCCTTGTGCTTAAAGGATTGTGTTCTTAAGGAGTGACCACTCATTGTGGACTCCACTCTCAGATAATGGTTTCTCAAGGCCTTGGCAGCCAGCCTCCTGAGTTTATGAAAGTTGACTTTCCTAAAGTCAAGGGTTCTGCCTCCCTGCCTCCTCCCAGAGTGCCTGCAGATCACAGCCCCCCTGTGTGCCCAGATCCAGCCTCTGCCAGGCCCCGCAACTGAAGGGAGAGCAGGGAAAGAGGGGGTGGGAAGGAACAAGGAGCTGATGGGGTAGAGAGGGTGATCAAAGTGGCAAGGGGGGCTCCTTCCTCCCCTCCACCTACTCCCGCTTCCCTGGCCTATACTGTGGCTAGAAAGCTACTGATTGTGGCAGGCAGGGAACAGCCTTGCAGACCCTAGCCATGTCCCTGCTCGCCAGCCCTCTAGTGGCAGGTCTGAGGGTATTAACCCCAAATGTGTGTCAGTGATTACTAGCACTAGTTAACATTAATGCAGACTGACATTCCTTAGAATTACCACCTGCTAGCTAATGTGTAATCTCAGGCTGGGTTTTGGGGCCTTCTAAAACTATGTGCTTTAGTCACAGGCCACATAATTTGGAACAATCATGGGACCTGTGGGACCTACAGCTTCTCACCTGTTTAGCAGGGGTAGGTAATGAGAGGGCTGAGTTCCTATTGTGGGTTTCTCTGTAATAGCTTGGTAAATTATGTCTTCTGTGCCCCAGCTATCGCATGCTGAGACAGGCTCAGTTGGTTAGCATCTAGTGTTTTTTTTCTTTTTTTTTAGGGACCTTGTCTTTGCAATAACCTGAGCTCTAAAGATGGAACCTTGAATTACCTTGTTACTTTTCTATCCCTGGCTGATTAATCTATACACCCCAAAGACATCTTTGAGAGATGTAATAGAATAAAGATATACACCTGTTTAAATATAATCTCTGCCTATCTTAAATCCTAAGGAAACTGCTCTGTTCAACATAAATCAAAAATTAATTATAAAATCCACAAGGGCAAAGCCCTTAAATCTTCAGAGAAAGAAAAAAAACCTTCCTCCGCCAATAAAAAGTCTTCCCTTTTGAGAACCTATATTTACATTACACTGTAGTATACATATAACGCAGACACTTGACCTCATAAGATTTGCCCTACAGGACATATGTGCCCACCTCTCCTTGTGCTTTGTACTCAGATCATAACAAGCAGTGCTTCTCACTTCTTGGTTCTCCTGAAGCACCCTGACTCTCAGAAGGAGTTTCTGCAGTGTATTCCAAATCCTTGGTGTTTGGTCTCCCTGTTTTCTCCTCTGGTTCCAATATCACCCCACCTCAGTGCATCAAGTGTCATAATTATCCAACCTGAACTAGAGTTAGTTAAGGTCTCCATCTAGTGCAGGGGCAGTCAAAGTCCGGCCCACAAGCTGGACTGGGCCTAGGGCAGATTCCATTTCCCAGTAGCCCCTGCCCATGTGGCTGTGGCCCGTTTCCATGGAGAACGCTGGAGCAGCAGGGCTGTGACAGTGCAGTTCCATAGACACTAGCCCAAGCAGCATTGGCGAGGTGCACAGCTGGGCAGGAAGCTGCTCCAGGTCTGGGGCCAGGGCCAGGATCTTGTGGCAGTGACAGCACCCGCTAGAGCCAGGGCACAGCTGAGATCCGCTGCCCACACACCCTGGGCAGGAGCGTGTAGGCAGTGGATCATGCTGCCTCTGCCTTAGGGGCCAGGGCATGCAGGTAGTAGATTGCTGTTCTGCCATGGCTCTGGACCATGTTATCACTGCTGCAAAATCCTGGCCTGGGCTCTGGAGCAGCTTCCCACCCAGCCACATGCCCTGCCAGCACTGCTTGGGTCAGTCTCCATGGAAACCCTGGCCCCGCATTGTCATGGTCCTGCTGCTCCAGGGGTCTCCATGGAAACTCTGGCCACAGCAACACAGGCAGGGGCTGCTGGGAAATGGAGTCCAGCCACTTCTGGATCCACCATTTTGCCCACCCCTGATCTAGTGCCTCAAAAGGCATGCCCTAGGCATGAGGTTACCATGCTTCTGGTATCAGGTCTCCTTTGCATGGTAAAAGGACTTTTTTTCTTAGAGGAACTAAATCTAATCCATACTGCCCTAAGAGTCCACCATTTGAATTGATGGCACCTGCTTCCTATTCCTTCTGGCCATGAAGTTGCCTTTCATGGAGGCTGTTCCTTTTGTGGGGACCATAAGTAAGACTCAGGCAATTGTGTTGGGTCCCACCTCCTATGGAAAAGAGAACTAACCCCGAATTTATACCCACAGTTGTCATGGGATTTCACTATAGTCACTTACCATACTTCCTTTTGAAGCCTCACTCTTTCAGACTAACCCTCTCTTACACATGCTTGACAAGAGGAGAACTTAGTTCTTTTACTGATACTGGACTAAGCCTTTGTGCGTATCTCATTTATTTAATTCTGAGCTGTGATCTCAAAAGACAGAGTGATTTTTTTTCTGCCCAAATACTAATCTAACTGAATTGCTTCAGTGTGTGCTGCAAGGTCACCAAGGTAGACCTACCAACAGTGATCAAAGCCCATTCCACTGGAAATATAGATGCCATCCATGGCATTCATTCTGAACATCTGCAACGCAGCCACCTGGAACTTCATATACACTTTTGCTAAGCACTACTCTATCACAGAGGCATCTAGAGTGGATGCTCCCTGTGGCAAAGCAGTCCACCCATTATTGTTCACCTAGGATCCTGGTCCTGCCGCCATGTGAATCAGGCACTACTTTAGAGTCACCCACTGTGGAATGTGCATATGGACAAGCACTTGAAAGAGAGATAAATCACTTAATTAGTGGAGTTCCCTGAGATGTGTATGCACTTTCCACATTTCTACCTCTTCTTTGGAGTCCCTGTTGTTCCAGAATTCTGTAGTTGAGAGGAGCAGGAAGAGTTCACCACCCTTTGTACCCTCCATGGAGAGCACAAGGGGAGGGGACTGTGCATGGATGCTGTACAAGAACTGCTAAGGTAAAAAAATACTTCAAAGGTAAAAGCATGAGACATATGCACACCTAAAGTAGAATGTGCATGTCAATGGTTCTCAACCTTTTTTTGAACTCAAGGCACCACCTTGGAGAGTGCTGGCTCTTAGCTTTTGCTTTTTTCTTGACTACAGAAAAATAATAGAACAATTTTTCTGTTGCAGACAACTGAGAAAGACCACAACAGGTCAGAATTGTTTGTAATATTATGGATTCCTATTTGAAATCTCTGGGTCTATCTTGTGAATCATGTGTTGGTGTTTGCAAACCTAATAATCTACATCTCCCTTAAAAGGATCTTGTGATACTCTGGGCTGTGGTGGAACCCTGGCTGAGAATCACTGGTGTATATGGTCAATGGCAAATTTCAAAGGAGTCCAATTACTGGTAAAGAACTTCTCTTTTCTCTCTAAAGATTCCCTCAGCTCCTTGATCAGCCCATCCATAAATACTGTATATCTATTTCAAATCTATTGATAGAGGTTTAGCCTAGGATGTTCTAAGGAACTGCTGAGGTTAGGTGGCTAATTCCAATTGAATTTCACCATTTATTCTGTGTTTTCTTCCGATCAGCAGTCCTGGTTATTTAAACAATAAGGTAAATTAACAAGCCTGCTGGCACAAATTAAAATTCATTTTCTTTGTGTAGACCTTACAGTACGCACATTTTTCCTGGAACAATGTTTGTCTCCTGCAGTATTCATTTGAATACTAATATTGTACCTTACCCCTGTTAAACATCAACAGATTTTAAACAATTTCATCCCACTGCTTTAAATCACCTTTCAGTAACTGCTTAAGAATAGTTGTACTTCAGAGTCCTTTGAGATGGCTTGATGGGGTCATTTCCTAGGCAACAGCATTTACTGCCACAAACAAGTACAAAGCAAGTCAGGGCCCTGCTGTTGCACTTTTAAGGAACGTTAATGATGTAATTCTGTTTACAGCATATCTTTTGACATTTAGGCCGTTAGCTTCAGTGATGGGGTGTCCTGTCACTAAAGCAAATGTAAGGACAGATCTTGCACCTCCTGTAAGCTGCTGCCTGACTTCACACTCCTAATTCTAACATTAGAAATTAAGGACACTATAGTAGCTCAGAGGTCCTCAACTTTTTTCATACTATATACCATGTTACCACAGAATATCTTCTGGCTCTGTTTCCCTTGTTTATTGAGGACAGTTCAAAGTATCTCAACAATGCTGAACTCATGATTCGTAACGCTTGCTACCAAGACTTCGTAATTTTTTACAAATAATGTCACAAATTCTAGTGTGTGTTATATATTAACAAAAATAATTACACATACAGGTCACTTGTCAAAATAAACATATTGCGGTGTATTATCTCTTATTTTCATGAGTGTGCTTGGTTTACCTGTAAAATTCATTTATTTGGTGTCTCAGTTGCTTATGAGCTTCTCTTGCAGGTAAAACCCTGCCCCCTAGTACTTCAGCTGAAATGTCAATCTCTACACATTGTATTCAGTAGCTGCTGCTTTGCACATATTTTACACTTGTAGCACCTCATCTTTCTAAATTATAGACAATACAGAGTGAACTAGTGATGTGGGCTAGCAGTAGCGGATTTTGTAATTGCTATCGTGAAGACATTGCCGTAAAAAAAAAAACATACCTTTTTTGGCTTGGCAGTGTGGCTAGAGTTGTTTATTTGTTGCTTTTTAAATCACCGGTTGTACTTTGAAATGTAGGATTTGGCCTAGATTCTACAGTTTATGTTAAGTTTTGTGCATTGACCTTAAATTTGTGTCATCACCCCTAATTATTAAGTTTAGGGAAATGACCTGTTCCTTGATGTTTATTTTAAATACTTACGCAGAAATAAGGAGTTGTCTTTGACTCACGGCCTTGTTACACATTGCACTTTGAGGTGCTCAAATGTTGATTAGTGTTAGTGCTACCTCAAGGTTGGAGCAGTCATACCTTAAGGTTAAAAACCTTCTCTTACTGCCTGCACAGCTGTGACTTGCCATTAGAAGGCTAGTGAGCAGGGGCCTGACTATAAGCTGCAGCTCTGATTTGCCACTTCAGAGCTGGTAAGCCGGTTCTATCCCTGTAGGCAGGGGTATCTGAGAGATGGGTTGGGGAGGAGGATGGGAACATGAAGCTGGAAGGAGAAGAATTAATGGGATGGAGGTGGGTAATGAAATAAGAGGTGGAAAGGAAATGGGGGTGGGGAAGGTTGGTGAAATCAAATAAATCAGTCACTGAAGGATACAATAAACAGTGACAAAAATAAAGAATATAAAAATAAAAAAGAAGTTTTTGTGTTTTAATAAATTCGGATTTGAGATTGGAATGTGGGGGGTCCTGGATATGCTTTGCAAGGTGGTTGGGAGGTGGGAGCAGTGAGGGAAGGCACTTTGGCAGAGCTACTGCACCTACCCTAGGAACTAAGTCTCTGCTCAAGGGATGCGATCCAACCCCCTACCTGGTTCCCCCTCTAGACCCCACTCCTGGACCCGTCTGTACCTTGCAACCTGGCTAGTTGGCATGTGCTCTGAAGGCTGTTTGCATGGGGTTACACTCCCAGGGGTGGGAGGGAAAGTTAGCTAGGTGCCAGAACTGACTCCTGTGCACTAGACTTCAGAGGGTAGAAAAATTGTCCACACAGGAGGGATGGGAAGGGGACACTGCATTCTGGGATGCTGGAGGACTGCAACTTGGGTGGTTCATCTGTGGGGAGTGGCCACAAATTAATGAAACATGAGCTGGGTAATACAAATCAGGGAGAAACTTGCCTTGGGGTAACATAACATTAAGTCACCTAAAGTGTACTTAAAATTAGTTTCAGGTGTTAATTTGTGTACAATCCAGGGGTTAAGATCTCCAGGAGCTGCCTAAAATTTATGTGTAACAAGGTCCACCAGCTTTCTGGTCCTGATTCAGGTCTTGGGTGTAAATATGAGGTAACTCTATTGACATTTGGAGGCATAAACTAACATAAAACTGGTTTAACAAATCAGAAGCAAGTCTTTGTTCTTCATAGCTTTGTCCAGCTGTGAAGATCTAGTTTTTCCTGTCCCCACTGTTTCTTCTAGGAAAGTCATGTCACTGAATATGTGCCATCAGAGTCTGAAAGCAATAGTGATATCTCAAATTCACCAGTAAGATTTTCATGTGGAAGAGGCTGGTCATGGTGGGAAAATTCTTTAGCAGCTTGCCTAAATTAATCTGCACAATTTTAAACAGAAGAAAAACTAGTATGAAATATTTTTGCATCCTGGTTCCAAGAGTGTAGAACTGGTGGGAGATTCCTCCTCCTATTTAGATTGCATGGGACAGCAGCATATTGTGTTGTGGTTTTTTTTAATATTAGTGCTATGGATTATCCAAGCTCTGTCTGCTTTCTAATTTTCAGCCTTTCTGCAGCTTTTCTGGAAAAGGAAAATGTTCTTATCTATCCCTTTTAGGGTTCTTCAATCATGATGCTCATTTCCTTCCTTTCCTGGAAAAGTGACTACACTATATCCTGCACTAAAACATCCTTAGTACGTTGCCTGTGACCATTACCTATTTGTTTAGACAGTTTCAAATGACCTGACAGAATGATGGCTTCTGCCTGTAGATCACCCACCCTACTCTGCTCCATATAAGAAAGTGACATTCATTCACCAACATGACATACCTACTGTAGGACCTGATGGATGGACCCCTCTGCACCTTTCCCACTTTGGAGGAATCTGGACCCTAGGCTTAATTCCTGCACCCAGGCTTCACTGGTTATGAACCTTCCCACACCCTCCCTTGAGAAAACCTTTTATCTTCTCTAACCTGACACTCCTACAGGTGATGAGGGGAGAGGAATCTTCCCATCTGACCTTGGAGCAAAGCCTTTGTTGCCCGTCTTCTTTACATCCTATGTTGGGGATATGAGCCAATAAGGAGCACCCTTTTCTGTGTTTTGATCTCTTTCCTCAGGAGTGGATCAGGAGTGTCTGAAGTTAATTCCAAAGTATTTCAAGAGTCACATGGGAATATTTTTCTTGTGCCTGCCTGTGCTGTATCTGCCTCAGCCCAGCAATATCTGATCCTTACTTTATAAACAGGAAGCTTACTCCTGAATGAAAATGATGTTAGCATTAGTTTTCACTTTTTCTTTCTTTTCCATTTGCTTTATTTAAGTGCAGTCTCTTTTATGGAACACTTTGATGTATTTGAATTTAGTGCAGGATTTATTCTTTGCTGATGATCATTAAGTAATGTTTCCTTCAGACAGTATAAAATAGTCACAGGACTATGTTCAGGTGTTAAATAAAAACGTGACTCACCTCTGAATCAAAATTATGAGCTTTGCCTGTTTTAGGACTGCTTCAAGATCACCAGTTCAGGGACTATGTTGCTTTGTATGAGTCTCTGCAGTCAGATGACCCTGATCTTGGTGCAACTCTAATGCAGGATTGTAGATAATGTGGCCACCCCACTGTCAGGCAACATCTATCAGGCAACATGCTTTATTTTAACCATATTATTTAAAAAATGTAATGGCGGGAGATTTTACTCCAGTGAGGGTTTTTAAGAAGTGTAAACATACATTCAAAAATGCCTAAGTAGATCAAAGTTTCTCAATTTTTTTCATGGAATGAACTACATACTTGCTACTTACATGTTACTTCTCTTTCCTTTCCATTATACTGTGGAAGATACCCTTGGTAAGTGCAGACACTGGCTTATGTGCAAAGCAAGCAAGGTAGGGCCAAGACGATGCCTATTTTTATATGTCTCCTACAGCTGTTTAATAGCTAGAAGTATATGACCAATCCCTTTTTTCAGGACTTACCTCTAAGTGGCTGCAGTTCACAGTTTGGGAAGATAACTGTATGTGCCCATGATGTCATTCATGAAAGACTCTGGCTGGGTCAGATTTGTTTCCTACAGTGAATTGCTATGCAGTTGTTTGTTTAATAGAAATCTGTTTAATCATCTACTAATATGCCCATTGTTAAATGTTGAGGCACCATGTTCTCAGAAAAAAACCAGATGAAGGCATCTCTACAAAACAGATCAAAATCTCTTGCCATTCTCACATCCTAAAAGATACCTTCAATGGACTACTTAGAGTCCCATGTTGCTGCTCTGAAAGGGCTTGCATTATCAGGCAGCTTGATATGAAAATCTTGAGACATCGTTTCATTATGATTTGCTGTAAACAAGGAGCCTCTACTGGGAGAACACCCAACAGTATCTTAGGTTACCAGCACTAAAGGCTTTCTGGATCAGAGCCAGTATTTTGAAAGTGGAGTAGAATTAAATAGAGAGTTAGAATAAAGCACAGTACCAGTGAGAGAGGTTCCCTTTGGACTTCATGATGGAACAGGTTGCAGGCTTCATGTGTCTTCTGCAGTTAAGCTCAGAAATAGTGTTTTGTGGTAGTCCCACCTAGACTGGATAAAAGTGTGAATCTTCTTGGCTAGGTTTTCATCTTCAAGGAGTTGTCCTGCTAACTTACCCAAAAAAGGACTAGTCCTTACTGATCTTGGCCACTTGATACTTCTGTGTATGGATGAACTGATATGAAACAAGTTCTCTACTTACTGGCCAAACTCCCGTTTTCTATCCCTTCCTGCTTATCATTCACCAAATTTTTATTTTGGATATTGCATAGAAGAGACTATTCTTTATTTATGTTTCCCCTATGTCCTCATTAGCTTATCATTACCCTGTGGGCTTAATGAGTGGTTCAGAACCAGTCTGCCGGCTGGATCAGACCCACAGACTGGCCCTGCATGCCTGATCTAGCACATGTCCTGGAGCAGCCAGATGGGGCACCATGTGCAGCACAGTCCTACTCTAGCTGCTCTGGGGTTGTGCTGCATGTGGCAGCTGCTCCGCCACCCCAGGACTGTGCTGCATTGCACTGGAGCAGCTGCCAGGTGCAGCCCAGTCCTGGAGTGGCAGAGCGGCCCCCACATGCGGCACAGTTCTGGAGCGGCAGAGTTGCCCCTGGGCACAACCCAGCCCCAGAGCAACTGAATAGCACACAACTGCTCTGGGGCTGTGATGCATGCAGGGGCTACTCCAGGGATGTGCCAAATGTGTGCCACATTTAAACAGGGTGCTTTTTACCCCCTCGTCCAAGTCATTGATGAAGATGTTGAACAGTGCGGGCCCGAGGACCGAGCCCTGTGGAACTCCGCTGCCCACATCTCTCCAGTGGATGGGTCATTTTCGGCTTGGAGGGATGTGGCCAGTGGGGTTCCACAGGGCTCAGTCCTCGGGCCCGCACTGTTCAACATCTTCATCAGTGACTTGGACGAGGGGGTAAAAAGCACCCTGTTCAAATTTGCTGATGACACTAAGGTGTGGGGGGATGTGGGCATGCTAGAAGGGAGGAATAGGCTGCAATCAGACCTAGACAGGTTACAAGGGTGGGCGGATGAGAATAGGATGGGATTCAACACTGAAAAGTGGAAAGTGGTGCATCTGAGGAGGAACAACCGGCACCATACCTACAGACTGGGGAACTCCATTCTTGTCAGTGCAGAGGCGGAAAAGGATCTTGGAGTCATCATTGATTCCAAGATGAACATGGGTCGGCAGTGTGGGGATGCAGTCAGGAAGTCCAACTGCACCTTGTCATGCATCCACAGATGCATCTC